GACATTTGTTTCTTGTATTTTTCACATTTCTCGCATTTTTCATTTTTTTGTGTCGATTTGTTTATCAAAAATTTATGTATTCTTATTGGCTGTTTTTTATTCGGGTGGGGGTTACATAATGAATTACGTGTAATTCAAGGATGCGCCGGATGAATCGTAATTTACATGATCTGACCCTTGCAGATCACCGGATGGATCGTATCCGACCCTTGCAGATCACGTGATATTTAGCATGATCCGATTTCAGTATGATCCCCCACATTTTTTATATGTATTGTATTTGAAACATGTTATAAGTCACATGATTATGTTGATGACTATTTTTAATTGGCTGAATTTCATCATGCAAAAATACATTATTATTTTTTATACAAATTCTAATTAGCATTGCATATAATAACTTAAATAGAAATGATCAATTTCTAAAATTTGAGACTGAGATCATGTGATTTGATGTGACTAGATTGTATGCACTATAAATTTGGAAGTAATATAAAGTCAGTTTTTCTTATGAAATTTATTCTGGTAGTTTTTGTTATAACTGACATCATTTCTTCTTATTGAAATCAACCAATCGATTCGAAACACCAGATATTTATTCTATTATTAGAATTGACTAGTCGAAAGTCAACCAGGAACACTAATTTTATTGAGAGTTCGAAAGCTGGCACCTTATCTAACAAATTTTTTAGCGAACTTCTAATTAGCGAAAAATATTCTGATAAAAGAATAATGTTTTAACTTGGAAAGAACATATATAGTACTGTTTAAAATACCCTCTAGAAAATTTAAACTTAGTTTAGTCAAAGGTTAATTTTTTCTGCCAAATGAATAATTCAAGATTCACGGTACATTTTTCTTATTACTAAACAATGGTTTTAAGCTTAAATTAAGTAGCAGCGTTTTTAGTAGAAATTGTAAATTACGGTATTAAATATTTCTCAATAATAGAACAAAAATTTAATGTAATTATAATTTGAATATAGTTATCCTTTCTCTCTACGATACTGTTAAATTGCTAACGGTAATCAAAACTTAAATATACGTATTCAATATTTTCTTATTTTATATATGTATTTTGAAAAACGGACATTAGTATGAGGAAATATTTCAAAGTAATGCAAAGCAAGACAATCTATTTTTTAGAGAAAACATTGTTTGAGCTATTTGACATATCTTTTTGGTTCATACAGTCATTTACAATCTTGAATATTTACTTCTGGAAGGATCATGTACTTGCTCTCTCTATTCAGCCAAACAGAAAACAGTAAATAATGTTTTTATTTGTGTATTATTGTGCAATAGTATCAAATTCAAGTGGAGATAGATAATAGCGATAGCAAACTGTTTCTGGATTAACTGTAATTTATTCATTTTCCGGAAAATTATTTAATTCGTGAAACACAGAAATGAAGATCGGGGCTGTGCGTTTAATTTTCTCTTATTATAGTTAATTTACCTTGATCTACAGAAAAATTTTGTATTAATCTCATTATTCGAATTCCGATTCATCCTGTTGTTACATAATACTTTAATATCGTGAATTTTCCGTGTTATATACTAGCTTTTTCTATAATTTTCTAAAAATACAATTATTTCTTACGCATTAAGGAAAGAGCAACTGAAAGTAACTCAATTGCCAATAAAACGGAATTATTAAGGAGATTGATCCTCTCGTATCTATCATAAGTGTAAAATGACCTTGATAAGTTTTGGGTCCCATTTATAGTTGCAACCTGCCGCAATCGATTGAGACGCCATTTTTAGTTGTTCTTTTCCTCTCGTATGTCATAAGATTTGGATCCCATCTATAGTTGCAACCTGCCGCAATCAATTGAGACACCATCTTTAGTTAAAGATTAAACGATTCTTTTTAATTTTGAAACTTGTATTAAGATGAAATTCTAAAACTACACAAAAATGGTGATTATCAACACGGAAGAATCTAAATTAAGAAGGTGAATATTATGAAAAACTAAGTTAAGACGTGTTCTTTATTCGCGATTTATCTAATGGACTTGTTTGCTATAAAAGAAGAACCTGATCAGTTAAGAAATTTATTTGTAGCTTACATTCTAAGACTTGACTAATTTACTTATTGTAATTTACTTCTTTTCTTGTTGAAAACCTCAAAAAATGAAATTCACTCAATCAGTATCATCTCTTCTCCTTTTTGTTATCCTATCATTTTCATCTTTCACATCTCCAGCTGTCATTCGTCGTCAAGATATAACAGAAATCAGACGCCAGAATGCACTGGACGCTATAGCTTTGAATAAAGGTTTTGAATGCTTGACTGCTGATTCACCTTGTGACCCTGCTACTCAAGCTAATGCTTGCGTTAACAAACAATTCGCGCAATGTGTTGGTGGGAAATTCGTATTAGCTTCATGCGGTGCTGGTTTGCAGTGTGTTTCTCTGCCGCTGGTTAATAAACGTGGAACTTCGATCACTTGTGGTATTATTTTTATTAAATTTATAGTATTAATGATTACTTCTTGTTTAAAATTATTTTTATATTTTATTTAGATACTATTGCGGATCGAGACGCTCGCATTTCTGATGCACTTGGTACTTCAGTACCAAAAACAGTTACGATTACTTCTACTTCTACATCTTTAGCACCAAAAACAGTTGCGATTACTTCTACTTCTACATCTTCAGCACCAAAAACAGTTACGATTACTTCTACTTCTACATCTTCAGCACAAAAAACAATTGCGATTAATGCTACTGCATTTCCAGCATTAAAAACAATTGCTACTACATATCCAGCGCAAAAAACAATTGCTACTACATTTTAAGGACCAGAACTAAAAACAGTTCTAGAATTACTAATTGAATTATTAATTTGTGAACTTTAGTCTAGTTTTTTGATATTCCATGTTTTTTTATTTGGTATTAATATTGGCAAATATATATAGGAAATAAGGGCTGGAGTCTTGTAGAATATTTCTGACTATCTAAAATTATTATTGTATTCCATTTTCTATTTTCTAAATAAATCTATACAAACCAAAAATTCAGTCGCTAATATTCTTTTTTGATCATTGTGAACAGCAACCACACGAGCAGCTTGATCCGCATCAGTATTTAAAATTTAAAAAAATAAATGTCACTATACATATTCAAATATTATGTAAAAAGCACGCCTACAATTAAACCTATACATTCCTTATCAAATCCCATATTTCTGATCATGTTTGTTTAAATAAGTAAATATACAAATTCTGCAAGGACCATACATATTAAGATCCCAGGGGTAGGGCCCAACGCTGGTATGAACTGGCTCTTCTTGTGAAAATCGTTTATATAGAGTAAAGAAGCGTAAGGGGCGCCATTTATGTCTCCGTTAAGTTCAAAGTTGCAGTTCTGGCAGCGCAAGTGCTTGTTTGTTCCGTGGATGGTGTCACGCTTACTCCGAATATTATCATATGCATGACAAAGTCGATAAATTCGAGCAATGTCATTTCGTTCCCATTCTATAGTTAACCCGCTTGGATCATATCCGGTCATAAAGGTACATATGCCAGGGCAAGTACAATTACTCCTGATTCTCTCTTTCATGAGCTTTTGAGAACACGGGACCTTGGCTCTCGATCTGTACCTTAAGTGGCATAGAACTCACCAAGACGTGTACTCACAAGATAATGACTGTCATATTGGAGCTTAGTTGGAAGAGGTTCTACGGATTTTATCTTGCTAAAGAATGCAAATTCACCACGGAACCTGTCCCAGTGCTTGTTATTCACTGTTAGCGATCTTTGAAACTTCTTGCAAAATTTGATGAATTTGCTTTAAGTAAATCATTCATATCCTCATCTCGTATATCATAGGGTGTTCAAGAACCCATTTAAGTTTGGCATTGTTCTCAGAATTTTTAGCATTGAGGCAACATGCTCGCAACTACTTGTTCTGCTTGACACCTTTATTTTCGATCATGTCAATGCAATGATTATAAGTTCACCGTGCTATTTCAATCCATTTTCTGAACTTCTCTCGCTCCTCCTTATTGGGAAAGAGACAGACGCGATAAGACTTGTCAGCTGGAGGCTTCTCAGATTTTTTGATTTTTGTGAATTTTGCTTTCTTATATGGCCGTTTTTTTTCTTTCATTGACAGTGAACAAACCTCTGAACTTTCCATAGACATTAATTGAAGAACCTTGTGAGATTGGATTTAAAGCAACACTATGAATATTTGTTGATAACCACCATTGCCTCAACTCTTCAAGTGTGAACTGATTCCAGAAGGGCTGCTAAATAGAGTCATTAGCTGTTTGAGGTTCAGATGATGACCTATTGTTACAGCGTTTGCATTTAAATTTTGGCATACAATGGTTTGAAATTATGTGAAAAAAGGTATTGTAGGACTTGGTGTAAAATTGAATGGGAAACAATGACGATGAATGAAATGAAGCTACATGTATATATGTATCTTCATTATATGTTGCGGCACCACCTTTAATTAATATATTTGTTAAAAGTAGGGGACGTGATATAAAGAAATGGATAAAAAGATAAAAGTTGCTTGTTATATCATATATACATAAACACAATGGCATCATTACTGCTATCGATTTCTTCTTGTTATTTAAGTCAGTTATTGTGAATACATCATATTAATTGAAATCAAAGCTAATATGATAAATGGAAACAATAATATTTTCAATGACCCATTTATTACCACGTCAAATCAAAATGACAATAATATTTCAATTGTACTCTTAGGATAGCATGGTTAATCATGAATTAGTACTCTTTTTTATTCATCTTCTGTTTTATTCGTATTTCATATTCATATTTATTAAACCCTATCGTCTTATATTTTAAAACAACATTCGAAGTTACTTAAACACGCATGTATATTGCTTTGTGTTTTTTATTTTATTTGAATACATGAGTCGTTGATTCTGATATTACAATTCTTTTTTTAAGCTTAACAGATAACAATGCCCTGCACACATGTACCAAATTAAAATGACACTTCGAGAATAAAATATTTAACTTTCACACATCTCTCATTTTATTTTTATTTTCGTTACAAGAGTAATTTTTATTCTATTCTAAAAACGTTCTTAACAATAAAAAGTCGATTTGCGTACAAGTCGCCACGGGAAACCCTTAGAACGCCCAAAGAAACCCTTTGATCGTAAATAATTTAGTCAAGCTCTCATAAAAATCTCTCTTTAACAAATTATTATAATCGACGCAACAACGTAACATTATCTGCAAGTGACGTGTATGCGGATTTTCCATCAATAATGTGTTGCATATAGCGGGTTGTGGTTGCGGTGGTTATTATTGCGGTGTTGGTTCATACTATCGTATATATGTGGACGAATATGGTTTTTCAAAAATTAAAAATTACTCTTGTAACGAAAATCAAGTCAATATAATAGTAAAATCTTGTTTATTCAACAATAATCAATCGTAAACTTAACAGGACTTGTTGGTACGGCCTGGTCAGGGAAAAACTTAATATCAAAATTTCAATTCAACAAAAGCAACGGCTTATTTATAGTGGAGGCGCATCCACAACTTGTTAATTGTTTGCAAGGTTTGAAGTTTGATCACAAACAAAACAAAATAATAGTGTATCCATAAGTAATATTACTACAAGTAAGTACTTTGTTATTTTATTCGATCAAAGCATGTCTTCTCAGAGACCTAAAGTAATTATATATATACAATTTCGAATTGCTACGCTAATTCTAAGGTCAGTGTTTTACATTAATTGTTTCTCTTGAAACTTTCTAAAAGCAATTAAGCAATAATCGTTTGATGTCTTTCAATTGTCCAGATAATTGTCGTCTTCTAGATAATCGCTATCATTACGTGCATTAATATTGAAGAACGATGAGGATGGATGTTCATGACACAAAAAAAAAGTACGTAATGGTAATACGTAAAGATAATGATACATGTACTGTATTTCTAAATTTGATTTACGGAATTAAAGGATTTAATGTCACTACGGTAGCAACGTACGAACTTTATCTGCATCAAATATACAATCACCAAAAATTACATCCAAACTGGTCGGCCTACCAACTCCTGTAATTTTTTGGACGTTCAGGACGTTCTTTTTGTCTTCGACCAAGCTCGCTCCACAGATGGTTGATGTTATTATGGTCTGGTGACTAGAAGTTTCCGGAACTTTAGTTTGACCACCTTTGTACCAAATAGTTTGTGAGCATTCCAATACAATCAAAGAAATGTCAGTACCAACAACGTAACAATAAACCAAAAAATCACAATAAAAAATCAGAGCTTTTACACAATCGTGATTAATTAGAGCAATTAAAAAATTTGATATAATTTTCAAGTCATTGCTCATTTCACATTATAAATTTATTTTTTTTACAATTTTTTAAAATAATTAATCCTTATAGATGGTTAATCTTTATTGTTGATTAAGGTTTTATTAAGATTCGTCCGGTTTTTGAAGTATGGCAATAAAACATGTTGTAATAAGAAAATACTCGTGAACTCAACAATTTTTTTGTCTACACATATAGTTTAAATTCTTCATCGTTTAAGATCAAAAACTTGTCAAAAATCTCTATAACATGTACGCCGAAATTTTATTTGTTGACAATAATTACAAATTCATGTAGTAAATTGATTTTATTGAAATAATATCGACGCAACAGGACTTTATGTCTGCTAATATTAAACAAGTCGAAAATGTGCTTTTAGCAGTTTGTGTCTAATTTAAGATAATCTTGCAATAAATGAAATCAATAGGTTCATGCATTCAGCATAAGATAACAAAAAGATATTATACACGACTGAGTCTCTGGAGGGAAAAGACAAATAATATCTAAAAATGAACGTTATCATATTTGAGGTAATGTAAAAAGATAATACTTTTTAACTTTAAATATTGGATGTCGCAATACATGTATATGTATGTATTAAGAAAAAGAAAGATATGGCGTGTGCGTAAATTAATGATTCAGAATAAAAATATATGCAATAGAGAGAGATGATTGTAGGAAATAAAACAATCAATACACACGAAATAATTAAATGAACGAGTATCGAATATGAAATATCACAGAATAGACCATAATGCCGGCAAGAAAATACGAGCTTAGTGACGATACGATTCTAAGAGTATAATCGAAATATGACGTGATAATAAATGAGTCGTTGAAAATATTACTGCTTCCATTTGTAATATTAGAATCTGCTGGTGGTGGTGGTTGCAATGCTTGATTTTGCTGAAAGTTATGCTGTTGATTTTGCAGTAAATGCTGTTGATTTGCTTGTTGTTGGTTTTGTCGAGGATTTGGTGTTGATTCATGACTGTTTAAAATTATATTGATAGAATAAGCGAAAGTTTCAATTTGAAAATATTATAATAAAACGAAAGAGTCTTGGTGAAAACTTTTGAATTGAACTTTATATCTTTGTTCGATACACATGTATATATATATATATTTTTCAGAACGTTAAAATAATAAATAATAATGATGTATAAATCAAAAGCACAAAAACCTAATAATATAATTGATTACGTAACATTAAAGAATTTCTTGAAAACTGTTTCCAATTCAGCAAACTAAACCATAAATTTGTGAATTTCGGAGAAATAAATCATAGTAATAGCATACATATATTTATTGGTAGGTTGTTACGGTAGTTATTGTTGAATGATTAATTACTGTATTTTAAATACATGTACATGTATCGGTATTTTATATTACGCCATACATAAAAGAAGAGTACGTATTCTTTCTCACTATCATTTGAAATTTCAGAGAATGAAGACATATTATCCAGTTTCTTTCATAATTGTAATGAATGTACCGATTGTCAAAAAAACAATTACTGCTCTGGATATTCGAAAAAGGAGGTCTTGCAATAATTATAAAGCAACTGGTTTGAATGGACCATTAAAGACAGTGGGAGCATAAAAAAAGAGTTTAAACGAGATAAAAATCAATGTTGTTGTGTTGAACTCATTATATTATTCAAGGCATATATATTTATTCCGAACACGAAAGAATGAATTGGAGCATTTACAGTCAAAACTGGTTATAACGAACTCCGGTTATAACGAAGTGTAATTAAAACCTCGATATAACAATGTTTGAATTTTCGATAACTTAACAGTATAGTAAATCTTTATATAACGAAGATTCCAAAAATTTTTACTATTTATCCGGCCACCTTCGTTATATCCAGTTTTGACTGTATATGGATCTGTGCATTGTGATCTTCACCCCTGGAAATACATGTAGACACATCGAACATCGAATATCTAACATCGAATTCGATGTATACACATCGAACATCGAATTCGAGACACAGCGAATTCGATGTATACACATCGAACATCTAACATCGAATTCGATGTAGACACATAGAATTCGGTGTAGACACATCGAACATTTAACATAGAATTCGGTGTAGACACATCGAACATCGAACATCGAATTCGGTGTAGACACATCGAACATCGAATTCGATGTATACACATCGAACATCTAACATCGAACATCGAATTCGATGTAGACACATCGAACATCACATATAGGGAGAACCAACACACGCGCTACAATCCCAGGCGCGTGAGAGAGTGGTGAAAATAGATGAACTAGACCAAGAGCAATTGAAAACAATGAACATCTAACATCGAATTCGATGTTGACACAGCGAATTCGATGTAGACACAGCGAATTCGATATAGACACATCGAATTCGATGTAGACACAGCGAATTCGATGTAGACACAGCGAATTCGGTGTAAACACATCGAATTCGATGTAGACACAGCGAATTCGATGTATACATATCGAACATCTAACATCGAACATCTAACATCGAATTCGATGTTGACACAGCGAATTCGATGTAGACATATCGAATTCGGTATAGACACATCGAATTCGATGTATACACATCGAACATCGAAAATCAAACATACATCTAATATCGAATTCGATGTTGACATAGCGAATTCGATGTAGACACATCGAACATCAAACATCGAATTCGATGTAGACACATCGAACATCGAACATCGAATTCGATGTTGACACAGCGAATTCGATGTTGACACAGCGAATTCGATGTAGACACAGTGAATTCGATATAGACACATCGAATTCGATGTAGACACAACGAATTCGATATAGACACAGTGAATTCGGTGTAGACACATCGAATTCGATGTAGACACAGTGAATTCGATGTAGACACATCGAACATCGAAAATCAAACATCTAACATCGAACATCTAACATCGAATTCGATGTTGACATAGCGAATTCGATGTAGACACATCGAACATCTAACATAGAATTCGGTGTAGACACATCGAACATCGAACATCGAATTCGGTGTACAGTCACCACAGAAAGTAACGTCCGATTTTTTGTAAAATAAAATTTAGATATATATTCGTTTTATTTAATTTCTACTTTATATACATAAATTTTTTTACCATTAACTAATACATTACCCACCTTTATATGGGCTTCAATGTCACCTCGATTCCTTACGGCATCGAGCTCTCAACCTTCCCCAAACTTACACATTAAATTTTGACTACACTTCCTTCAGAGCAGTCTTGAGCTTGTTCCTAGTTTTAGAATATTGTTTACAATGGTTTATATATGTTTTCTATGAAGTCAGGTCTGGGAGGTTAATTGGTTCATAATCATTAATATACTTCTCTTGAACCTATTTCGTGATCTTTTTAAAATTAGGGTTAGGATTAAGCTGAAACGACATATTTTTTCAATTAATGAGCATGTATATTATGAAAGAGGATGAAATTACCTTAAAGAATCTCGGGTAAATTTTTACAAAGATTTTTTGTTGACGACCCTTCCAGACCCTAGTAATTTTCTTTTTTCTATTTCTCTTGTATTCGGCAAGAGATCATTATCACGGATCATTTTTCTTGCAACTTGCACGGCACTCAAGAATTGTCATTTTACCCTCGTCAAAGTCGGTCAACTGGAGGCGGTGTGTGCTATATTTACAGCCAACAAGCTTCGCCAGTTGTATGTTTAAAAGTCGAAAAGTAATAAAAAAATTTGCAGTCAATAATATCAAAAAGGGAAAACGCCACAGAAGTCGTACGATACATGATGATCATGACTTCGTTCACCAAATGCGTACGTACATGTAGTCACAAACGTTCACTTCCGTCTGTATTTATACCAACTTATGCATGAAAAATGACCAACATGCATTAACATTAAATGAGATAAAAAGAAGCGTAATACATGTATGAGACAGAACGTATAAAAAAGAAGGCGTTGTAACTTCTACGTATTGTTGTGTGTAAATAGTAAAATACACAGTGAAAGTCGATATAACGGACGATCGATATAGCGGATTTGATCTATAACGGACTATTTTTTGGAACCA